CAATGACAGCGTTGGTCAAATCATCTGCTCAAATTGAACCCTTTTAAGTTTCAAAAGGTAACGAAATATGCTTTATTTTATTCTTCTGTAATTGTTCTTAAAATATCAAGAGAGTTTTTTGCTATTGCAGCAGTTAGAGATCCATCCGTGCTGTATATATAGGTCCGGGTCGCTAAAGACCCGAATATGTAATAATGATTGGCGAAACATTCATGCATTTAAGGGTTAAATTTAAAAGCTGAACTGGGTGATTTTTCCATGTTAGAATACTTTCTTTTATCCCAGGTTAATATACAAAAACAACTACAGACCTTAGTCATGTTAGATGCCATTTTTAATTTAGCACAGATGAAATCGAGGCTGTGAGGATAGACTTACAGTCTTTACAATGGCATGCACTGCATAAAGGTCACATAATTTTTGCAACTTTCAAAAGTGTTTTATGGAGTTTTTGTCCACCGGAATTTTTTTTTTCTCCAGAAAAATAAACATTCATATGTTGTTAAACAATATTATCCATTTAACGTACTGTACTTATGTCCCTCACAGCCTCGTTTTTTAATTCCTGTCAAAATATGGCACTTCTCTGACTAAGGTCTATCAGCCATTTGTATCAGTTGACTCTTTGGTCTAGCCAGCACAGCAAAACTCTATCAACCAATGACGGGAGTCTGGGGGCAGGGCTATCTGTAGACTGACCAATGGCAGATGTGGGGAGTGTTCAGGAATTCATGATTTAATTTCACAATACAAAACTGGTAGCTCAGAAATCACGCTTCATTTTGCGTGAGATTTATATGACGTTTATAATAATTGTAATAATCGTCTAAGGGGATTTGGTCTAAGTTTATTTAGATCTGAATCCCTGTGTGAGGTTGGATTAATCACAGACTCTTGCATGGCACTAAAAGTCTGAAACATAATTTAAAGATGAAAAAGGTGTTTGTATGGCTCTGATACACAATTTAAAAGAACTGAATATCAAATACTGTATGATCAAAAAAACACTACTTCTTTTCTCAATAACCCATGACATGTGCTCTTTAACGTTTATCTCTTACCGGGAATGTACAATCCTCTGTCTTGAGTAGAGGCACTCCAGGCGAATGAAACATGTCTGTTTAATGATCGTTTTGAATGTGCGCGGCAATAAACGAATCTTTTGAGTGGCTGTATATTACAGATCCAAAATCTGTTGCTCAATTTCCACACACAAAGAAGGAAATTTGATGGAATTATAGCTATTTCCAGGTCTCATCTCTTATGTAAAGAATAAATGTTGTTTAATTTCTTCATTTTGATGTGTTGACACACTGAGCCCAGATCATTTTCCACTCAAACCCCTAAAAGCTCCATCTCTATTATCGACAGCAATGGTGGGATATTAGTTGACAGCTGTTTTAAGTAGTTTTGTAATAGGCATGATTATAGGCATCAAGATTTAAAGAGTCTACTCTGACAGCAGAGTTGCCAATTGGCATTTATAAAAAGCAAAATGTGAATGATGATAATATTTTCATGCTTAGTTCATTATTAAGATAGTCACACACATGAAATATAACCTAATCTGCTTTAAAGTCAATCAAAACGTACCCTATTTAACACATACTGCTATTGAAAAATTGAGAAAGGCTAAAAACAACCCATTTTATAGAGACTTTTTTCACCATTGAATCATTTCCTGATGGGTGCCGACCTATTAATGTAGTTATTTCATAACTATAAAACATCTATTGTAAAATTGATTTCAAAGACGCATCAATCACAATTTATGCAATTGCAAAAAGTGGCAAAAATGGCAACGTCATGCAAATTCAAAACACAGCAAATACACATTTAGTTGAAAATTAAGTTGTGACTGAATTTATGTCTCATAGACTATGATCTGTCCTGTGAGAAATGTGTTTGACTCAACTATGCTCAGATTTAGAGTAAACTGTGAGATACTGCTACTCAAATCAATCATGCCGTAGTTACTGCGTTATTTTAGATGATAACGGCATGCGCATCATATTGTGTCTTTATAAATCATAAAAGTCATTGCATCAATGCAACAATGTACTTGCCTTGGCTTAGCGGTTCATGCTGTGGTGCTCACATGGACATAAGTTTGAGTTCTTCTCGTCTGATGTCCTGTTTCTGGATCTTTCATTTTCATTTCCACATCACACATCTTAATATACTGGATTAAAAAAAAAAACAACTCACAATATTGAAAGATAGAAATCACATTAGTTTACTTCTATTACAATATCATAATAAAGAGAGCAAAAGAGGTGAATTTCAAATCATTTCTTTTAACAGTTACCTTTGTTTTGATGGGTTGTTGTTGTTTTTCCCCAGGTGCTGCATTTCTAACATGAAAAACTGGCAATTCATTAATAAATATGACATGTTTTTAAAGTCACATTTTTTTTCAAATAAAACATCTTGAAAATATAGATTTCATTAATAATAAATGCATAATAAATTTGTCATGTGTCCCCCATATCACTTTCCATCCTATTTGTTTTTTTTTGTAAAATTCCTTTAACTTACAACAGTCAGACATTATGCAACAGGAAGTGACATCATTTTGGAGGGAAAATAACAGCACTAACAAAAATATCAGCAATGGATTGGTTAAATTGTTTTGTAAAAGTACTTATAAAACAAAACTCACTTTGACACTTGTTTGATAAAATGAAAGAAATCAGTTTTACAATATCAGCTTGCCAAAACATGGTTTGAAAATATAAAACTTAGTCTTAATGTAAACTAACAGAGAATTCTTATTTTCATTCTGTGTATTAAAAATAATAATAATAATCTGGTTATAATTAATAAAGCTTAAGTGCCTGAGCCAAAGCATATTTCAGACAGACCAATGTACAATTTAACAGAAATATTTAAATTACAAAACAAGTGTATTCTTTTTTTTTTTTGTAAATTACATAAACTCTTAAAAATAATGGTTCCAAAAAGTTTATTTTTTCTTTTTTTTTTGTAGCAATGCCATAAAAGAACCTTTTTTTTTTTTTGGAACCTTTTAGTGAATAGTCTTAAAACACCCATTTTTTTCTTAGTGTGAAGAACATTTTAATAATCTAAAGAACTTTTTTCCACTATAAAGAACCTTTTGTGGAATGGAAAGTTTCCATGAACGTTAAAGGTGCTTCATGGAACCATATGCCAGTAAAGAACCTTTATTTTTAAGAGTGCAGTTTAAAAATGACCAGCTCTGCTCACTATCTGCACAAATAAAAGTGAGAAAAAAATAAAAAATATTAGAAACCACGTGCATTGTCATCAGACTGTTAATTCAGTATATTATCAGCTTTTTGGTGAAGCAAACACCGTTTGGAACGATGTCACACCAGCGCCGAGCTCCGTGGTGTCTAGCATGGGTAAGTCCCGGCTCCACAGTAGGGGGCTGTAAACATTTACACTGAGAGGCTGTCCATTCCACATGGTTCTCCTTCACCAGCAACCTCAGCATCTCGCATTTAGTCATTCAGGCCTGTCCCGAGATACTACGAATCACACCACCAATTTATGTAAATGCCATCCAAATGTGACAGCCGACTTATGCTAAACGGAGCAAATAAAGCAAAACATTGCCGAAACACCCCTAGGCCCACATGGTACCGAAGGCTCGGCGGAGAGCTGCTATGCTCCCCGCTGTGAACTGGGAAAGTGATGTTGGTGTGCCGTGCTCCTCCAAGAGGGTAATACCGTTCCCGGGCCCCGATCGAAGCCCTTTTGAAGTCTGTTGCATGCGAGAGCGTGCCAACGTTAGTACACAACAGTAGCTAATGCACCCACAAAAGCCAACATTCGACAAGGACCGAGGTGAAAGAGAAAAACATCTAAGTTGGGAATAATTCCCTCAACCGCCATACCTCGGCACTGCTTTAATTTTAGACGGACCACGTTACATAAGTGATAGACAATAGCAATAAAATGGATCCCATTAATTCCTGACATGTATGGGCTTATTTGCTATTCATTAGTTTAGTTGACACAATAGAGGCGTAATTCTTTTAAAATCATCTGTTCTGCTCGGTTGGAAGTGTTGAAGAGCATCAATAGGCGATGATTGCAAAACTTATGTAAACAAGTACTTACAATCATAGCGGTGCGCGCATTTGCATAGGGAGAGAAACAGATTCGGGGGCATATTTTAGGGTCTAAACTCTTTGAACAAGAAAAAGCCTTTCAGAGTATATTTTCCACTCAAACAGCTCTTTAAAATGATGTGCAACTGGAACCGTACACAACTATATCCGGAGAACGGATGTTAATGGGAAACATCTTCAAGCATCAAGGCCAAAGCTTTATTGTACTTTGATTCAACTAAAAAGCTTTTAAATGTATTGAAAAGGCATCTCTTTCATCTCAATAAAAAGAAAACTATTCCAATACATTTGCAATATTCTCGCTATGACGCATGAGAAAATAAAGTTCTTGAAACGGACGCGGTGGGTAATGCAATCCACGAGGAGTTTGGGATCAAACCTTTATTGTTTTGAAAACTCTAAATTCTTTTACAATAGTCATTTTTCGTTACTGTGTGATGAATAATATACAATGTCGTCGTTAAATTCAATAAAGACACACATTCACAAACATGAAATATTACTTTCTATATTTCCACATCCCACAACAGAGGGAAGATATGTGCTGCTTTTCTTTTGATGCTTGTTTTTTGACAGCACAAACCTCCCTTTTGAATCGACGAAAGCGTCGTTTTTTTTTCCAAAAGTGCATCTGAAGGATTGGGAGGCCTCTGCGGTGGGCCGTCCAAATGTACATCATAATAAACAGGCGGGTCATACTGTGCTGTGAGTAACAATCAGCAGGTTTTCACCGATATCTCCGACTATAACGCATATCCAGACAAGTAAATTAAAGAAAATATTATCTATATGCATGCCATGACCATTCCTCTGGTAACATTTACAATAAATTTATATTTTCATAACCTTCTGAAATAAGTAAGCTGATCATGATAGTGCTTCCCCCCTAACCCGACCATAATATTAATGATGAACTAATATGTAACATCCAAATACATTTTGTTCATTTTACAGACTTGTAGTGACAGCTTCAGAGCCATCGTAGGAGGAGGCAATGCCCCGATAAAGTTAGAATCATTTGGTCCACATTTACAAATCCTCTGTGTATAAAAAAATTAGATAAAATGGTTTGCAACAGAGGCAAAAAAAAAAAAAAAAGGGGGAAAACGATTTTGTCTTCTGATGTTGACAAAACTAAGCGAGTCTGCTTAAAAAAAGCAATAAAAACATAATGAGCTCATTACAATATGATCAATTTGTACACGATTACACTTTCTTGTTCCAAGGCACGGCCTTTACTCTGTAGAATTTAGTGCCGAGAGGAACTTTGAACCGGTTTTGGGCCTGGAGACAGACAATAACAAAAGAAACACGTTCAAAATATGTAATAGAATATCACATGAAAATAAATAAATAAAATAGATCATTTAATATAAGTGCCTGCAGTAATGATTAGCAGCTGATTATAAAATACACAGTTTTCTGCTCAAATTAACTTTAAGATGCAAAACAGAATTAAATGCGTGATTCTAAATCAATATTCTCTTCCTGATGTGCTTAAAGGGACTGAGTATCTGCAAACACTTTAACTGTTAATATTTGTCTCAAATATAAGCAATGTTAACCAAAAACAGATAAATTTCAGGAAAAATGGGCTAGTGTTTTGTCATCGAGGATGTTATATAATGAGAGTGCAATAATACCGTCAATGATGCACAGAGTCAAAATTATTTACTGAAACACAATTGTATAAAAACACTCCGTTTAGAGCATTCACAGAAATAATAGAATAATAACGGTTACCTTTTTGGCTTGGCAATATTCCTTCTCCATGACTTTTCCTAGAACCCATGGCCGTCTTGTTGCTCCTGTCGCTAAAAAAACCCAAAACAAAACAAAAAAAAAGTATTATTGATATACAATAAAAATGTGCTTTATGTAAAATAAAACTACAAAACAATTTATCAGGAGTAAAATGCATTCTCTTTTTTTAATCTAAACATTAAAAAAAAACATTTCAATTTACAAATGCATTGATACATTAATATATACAATTAATAAATAAGAATAATTAAATTGAGTAAACATGTACTCTGGAAAGAGCAACAAAAAATATGCAAAACCATCTTGTTGGAGCAGAATTGTTTCAAATATGTAAAATCTAATATATTTAATTAATCTGTCTCTTTAATGAGTCTTCCTGTTGTGTGTGTGACTGACCTGGTTTGAGGTCCAGTGCAGTGAGAGACTCTGAGTGCAGGAAATAAAGGGTGGGACCAACAGTGAAGAGAACGTAATTATCGTGCCTTTCGTCCAGGATTATGAGAACCAAGTCGCCCACCTGAAAACTACAAAAAGAGGGGTTCTCAAATGAGGTGGAGGGCTAAAATAGCTCAAATCATTAATGCTAATATCCAAGAATACTTACTCTCGAATAGCGATTTTCTCCGAGTGCCGTGACGAGACGGACGACATACTCTGTGACATCTGTAAAACAAATTGTTAGACGGTTCTGGTGATATTTACACTGGTAAATGTTTGTTATGTTGCTTTCGTACACATTCTGCAACCGCTATAAAAATAAAACGGCATACACTGTATTGCAAAAAAATCAGTTTTGGTTAAATGCAACATTGATGAATCTCATAAATGCCTCCTGCCATTTCAGTGCTTGTAGGATGGAGTTTGTACCTAAAACAAATGTATGTGTGCCATCTAGTGGTAAGGAGTAGAACAGTCTATTAAATAGCATGCATTGGTAGTACACTGTAGGGACAGAGAACAATGAGTATCTAAAATACGTTGTAACGTACATAGATAATAAATATGAAATATGGGATTTAAACACGTCTGTAGTGGTTTAATTTCAGGCTTGTTTGCAAATGAGCTGAAACTCAGCCCTAGCTCAATTACCCAGGCACATTTCAGAGCTGTTTTTCAGACTAAATTCATCTTGTGAATCTGCCCCGAGCTGTCAGGACTCTAAAGTGTGGGTTACGTGTCTCATAAGATGCGTCTCGTGGCCAGTAAGATTGTGATTGTAATTTTGCTAAAGAGATTAAATCTATTTGCAGAAATAGTCCCAGGGGAAATGTAATTAAATTATATCAAAGAGTCTCATGTTTTAATTAACTCCTGATAATGTGCAAGTAGTTACTGTCTTAACAACAGCAATGTAATGTCTATGAACTATACAGTGAAGATAGGATATATCCAGTATTTTGCTTATGGATATAAAAAAAATATATATTAAAGAAATATTACAAGTTTTTTTTTTTTTCAAAATGACATGAATGCCTTTAATGATCGCTGACCTGCATTAATTGAGTGTATTGTTCTATTTACCATCACTAATTACTGGTTTTAATTGACTCTTCAAGTGGTCAATTATAAACTGAGATCAAGCACAAAGGACACAAATACAGACGATCAATTTAAACGATGTTTAACCCTGTAAGGCCCACTGTTGTAATATTACAGCGTCAGTTTTAGCTCCACTAAAATAAACCTGTACTTGTTTTTTAGCCTTTAAGATCACATTTACACAATTAGTAGGTCCTATTGTTCAGTCCTACAATGTTGTTGGGTGGTATATTTTGTAAATAGGTCTGTTTACCTGGCCATAAACTTACACAACCTGCACACTTGCTTCAAGGGACTTCACCTCTTTTTATTGGACTGGATAAACCAACACGCAAGTAAGTATAATGCCTAAAATATTTTTTTCTGTGATTAGTAATATGTGTAGATCACGCAGATATTAAGGTACTGTTAAATACTTTGATTAAATTAGATTTTGAGCCTGTTGTGTCAAGGTTGTAATTTTACATTCAACATTGGGCTAGAGTGGTAGCAAAATTTGCCTGTGCACCTTACACATTACATGAATGAATTGTACTTCTAATTTGTTAGCAACATACTTTTTGACCATTTATGTCAGTGACAAAATATAATATTGATTTTTAAACTCATTTATTTCTGCATTAGAGGCCTCCCACAACAACATATAAATGGTGAAATAATTTTTTCAGTTTTTTTCTAAATTTGGGTCTTACAGGGTTAACGATGTTCTCATACAATGAACACATTTAGATGAAATATAAAAGCCAAAATTGTAACCAAACACACATTCATGTACAAATAGACTAAAATATATTTACCAATCTTTGACTAAGTCTTTTGTTCTCTTCCTCCTTCATGTGTAAGGTCTGAAACACAATAACAAATAATTGCATATAAAAATATATTTAAGAAATGCAATGATTACATTTTGTCAATAAAGTACTACATGAAATAAAATCATCAAAGTATATGTGTGAAAGTGAATTACCCTTTCCAAAATCAGTATGCGCTGTTTCTCTTCAGACAGCATAGGGTTGTCACTGCATCAAAATACACAAAATAAATGTCACAAACTACACAGTTCATTCAGCTTTGAAAGGAACAATTTTTTAAAAGCCAATCATAATTCAAAGCAGGACAATTCGTTAATGTGTCAAGACCAAAAACAACATTTCTGGCTGATAAAAGGAAACTGCTGAAGACTCCTCACCTACAGCAAGCGCTTGACTCACATCTTTCCTCTTCTATCTGATCTACTTGGCTTTCCTGTCTCAAATACATTCATTCAACTTCTTTAAAGATACAGGGTCTACAAAACATGGTCTTGCCTCTCTCCACAAATAGATCCTCCTTACATACGTTTAAACCACGACTAACTAACTACTGCTGTCATTCTGCTAGAAATATAAAAAAATTAATGATAATAAAATTATACATATGTGTGTGTTTGTGTGTATCAATAATAAATGTGTAGATTTTTGACTACAAGCATATAAATCACTAATTCTGTTAAAAAACTACAAACTATATAACTTATTAACTCCACTCTGTTATTATTATTATGAAAAAAAAATGTTTTAATATAGTAATTATATAATTTTTCAAATAAGTCTATACATTACTAATTCTGTTAAAAAACTACAAGCTATATAACTTATTAGCTCCACTCTGTTATTATTATTATGAAAAAAAATGTTTTAATATAGTAATTATATAATTTTTTTAATAAGTCTGTAGATATACATCTATAAATTTATATAACATTTGCAGATTTTTGACTACAAAAAGCATATAAATCACTAATTCGGTTCAAAAACTACAAACTATAAAACTTAAAACTGTTTTAATATAATAATTATATAATATATAATTTATCTGTCTGTAAATATACATCTCTAAATCTATAATAACGTTGTAGATTTTTGACTACAAAAACATTAATTAGCAGATTAATTCTGTTCAAAAACTACAAACTATAAAACTTATGAAATTATTAAATCTAGCACAATAAATTGTTTTATTTCTCTCATAACAAGAAAAAAAATGAATGAGGAAAATAAACAGAAGTTTTGTTCTGTAAGCATTCCAAACCTTTTCAACTGTGACAAACTGCATCTCTCCAAAACTTTGACTTTGTTGCTACAAGAGCATGTGAAATCAAGTGTATTGCTACAGCTCATTCAGCTATAATGCTGTGCAGTATTTTTAGCACTTCATTATATACTGCAGCTGGCTGTGCAGGTTTGATTTACAGTAATGAATGCTGTTGAGTGAGAACGTAGGCCAACAAGAGTTTGTTCCACTGCTATAATAAAATGAATAATTTCAAACCATCTTCTGGATAATGTCAAAGACATACACTCAGCGTGCTGTTGACTTAACTGAGCCAGTTAAGTGTGGTAGTTCAGTTTTTCAGGGTTTATTCATTTAGCTCTTGTATGAATATGTCGCATGGGAACTTCAGCCCAGATGCTTACTGCACTGTCATCATGCTGGCCTCCACGGCCGACTCCACCCTCTCCTCGTCCTTGAATGCAGCCGTGGACGCCAATCTCTCTGGATCAGGGGTGGACGGCGAGAGCGCTTCAGCATGGGTGGGGCCACAGGCGCCGTGAGCTTCCGTGAAGACTGGGATGGGATTGGGCGGAAAGAAGGATGAAGAGACGAGGACGGTGCTTCGCAGACGGTTGAGTTCCTCCTCCATCTGCTTCTTCTCCTGAAGGATGGAGGCACGGTCCTCGGAGAGCGTTTCGATCAGGCCTTCATTAAAACAACAAAACAGAGAGGACAATGATCATGAGTGGTCCTTTTTTAGCATTTATTGGTCACACTGACCATTTCTGTGCAGTTTGGTAAGAGATGTTTGAAAAACAAGTGAAAATGCTCTAAAATTACATGATAAAAAAAGTTTTTATACCTTTATCTTTTTCTTGTTGCTGCGTCAAGTTTTTGAGCTTCTCAGTGAGATCATTGATGATTTGTTCTTTCTTTAGTTTCTCCCGGGTCACAACAGTATTGAAGTTTGTCTAGAAATGAGCAGTACATTAAAACAAGCAATTTTAGGGTTTTTAGATCAACAATAACTATATTTTCACTCAGTTCTGTTTGTGGGGGGGGGGATTTGTCTTCTTTTTTTTTACTTTCCCGGGCCAATTTTTTTTTTTTTTTTAAAAA